TGGCATAGAAAGTGGTATTGATACGTAGTAATGGAAAAGTTAGAACATTCTGAAGGATCGTAATCTGCGGTGACCGTGTGAAAGTTACAATTCATGTGTGCTGATCGGGATCTGTAGTGCGTATGAGTACAAAGTCTACCATTATTAAGTTGATTGAGTAATCAATATTTACAACCCCAAAAATGCCTTGTTGAGTCGGGGCATGGAGGATTCTTGGAATTGGGGATTCAACATCTTGCAACATAAGGAGACTATTAAATAGGTAAATATCCAAAGTCAAAAATATGAATCTTTTTCATTTATTTAGTAATTAGATAGGTTCATATAGGGGTTTTGTGCATGAACAATTATAACACATACAGTTTGACATATATCAAAATAACATTTGGTGCATTAAACTCTGAGATGAAATTCTTGACCTCTTAAATAAATTGGGCTATTTAACACACATTTTAAAATTTACGTTTATTCTCTAATTAGTACACAAGTAAGGGAATGACTATGAGAAGGTGGGTGTAGTCCAATAGATGAACATCCACCCCAAAGTCTCTTGGGTTCAATTCCCACCTAGGGGAGATGAGGAAAGTCCTACCTCCCATGATTTTCTCTACCTTTACGGAGTAGCTTAGCGGCTGAGAAGGGAGGAGATGATAATGAAGGCAGTGAGTTTGGATTCGTGTGGTGGGAGGAGCGTAAGCCCGACACCTGGATTAAAAAAATGATTATGAGAATAATATTCTTGACCATCATGAGTCGTAGATACGAACTTAAGAAGTACTCTCTCCGTTCCACTAAGAATGAGACAATTGAGTTTACGATGTTTGATCGATGATATAACAAAAAATTCATGTCATCACTCAAATTATTTTTAGAAAAAGAATTATATATTCAGAAAATACATTAAAAACTTTACAAACTCGTAAAAATCAGAATCAAATTTGATAAAATTTGATAAAGTATTAAATTAAGAGTGATTTGTATTGACTAAGTGAATAAGAACACAGACAATCTTAACGGGACGGATGAAATATACTCTACTCCGCGTCATTTAAAAATTAAAACACATTTATTGTCTTTTATATCTCTCAAAATCTGAGTAATAATACTCGTAATGTAATACGGAGCATTTGATTCCAGGAAGCAGGAAAGAAAATGGTATTCCCGGCTAACCCGTTATCTCTTAGCGTACCCGAACCCGAATTCGAGAACTGGCTTCGAGACAGTGGCTATCTCGAAGTTCTCGACCAACGCACCTCCGACCTCCACCGCCTGTCCTCCACCGCTTCCACCGCCACGACACCCTCTTCGTCTGAAACCGCTTCGGCTACTACCCCTTGCCCAATCAGCAGCGGAATTTTCTTATCATTCTTTTCATTCGTCAGAACTCTGCTCTCTCTACTCACTCTCAATCCCTTCTCCAAGCTCACCTCCGACGACTTTTCCGGCGAGACCCCTTGCTGGACGCTTAATTTCTTCGGGTCGTGTGAGTCGTATTCGTTTCCCTCGTCGCCGGCCCAGGCTCGCCTCAGGGTCCACGAGAATGTCAAGCGTTATTCCCGCAATTATGCTTCACTCTTCGTTGTATTCTTCGCTTGCTCTCTGTATGCACTATTACTCTCTCTCGAATTACTTAGCAAAACGTATCTGCATTTCTTATTAATTCTACTATTTATGGGATCCTCATGGGTTTTAATTCACAACTGCTAATCAGAAAGTTGAGGAATAAGGTGCTGTTCAAATTTGATGAGGAAATGGAATTCGTATTTTTTCTCTAAAACTTATACGGAGTATATTTCTTGCATATTTGAAGTACTAGCGTTGGTGGGTCAAACTAATTATGTATTCTAATTTTCGTCATTTTGGGGTTTTTGGACTTCTTTCTTTCGTCAGGTACCAAATGCCGCTTGCCCTTGTTGGTTTGCTATCGTGCATAGCCCTCTGGGATTTGTTTAAGTACTTTGGTGATAAGCATGGATTAGAACAGCACCCAATAATTAAGCCGATCTTGATTGGGATTGCCCAATGTGGTGAGTTCATCCTACAGAAATTCTTATTTGCATTATAACTGAATGAGCTTGATAATCCAATGTGTTGTGCCAAGAGAGACAGTTCTTGCCTGGCTCAACTGGGGTGCCAATGGATTCTTTAGTTTTTCATTTGAATGTGAATTTATCACTGGTGCCTAGGGATCCCTGGGTTAGAGCTATCTATCAATCCAGTGAAACAATGAAAATGAAAATATCTTGATGTAAATCACCACATGGCATAAGTTAATTCGGATGTGCCTGTGGGTTCAGTCAGCTAGGACCCTAAAGGTTCTTATCTCTTTTAGCAGTAGTATAAAGAATGGATGGTGTGGTATTGGTTACCTCTTTTTCCTCTTTTGAAGCCCAGAATATTCACATAGAAGATTTTATGTAACCCTATACTAACAGTATAGGAACTACAAGAAGAAATATCACTCTTTGCCCCTTTTTATGTGTGTAAAGAGAATGGTAGCTAATATTCAGCTCAGCTATTTTGTAAAAAATGCCCCAAAAATCCAGATCTTTGTCAATAAGGCTATGATTTGGATTCCGGAAATTGTTAGGAAAATGAAAGAAAACTGCAAGGAAAACCATTTTCTTATGCTTGGATGTACCCCGGACAATGCAAAGGAATATGAAGTATGATTGATGTTGTTATTAGCTTTATACATATGTTTACATTGCTCAGTGTTTTTATGATGGGGAAAAAATACTGAGTAAGAAGCAATGCTTTGTTTCCCTCAACGTTTTCTCTCCTGCCAAAATTCTTCTATACCCCCATTTTTCCTCTTCTCTTTTTCACTTAGCTAGTATGTTCTCCATCTTTGAGAATGTATATATTTATGCATTGCCATTTAGTAGTCATGCTAAGAAAAATACTACTGCGTACTATGTATGTACGTAGTATTTATCAAAGCAACCCCAAATCACAACACTGATGGAGTTACGCTGTTGCAGCAAGTGTGGTTATTTTACTCTTCGCCAATGTCCAAATTGCTCTCTTGTGTGCTCTTGGTGTTGGTTATGCAGGTGATACTATTTTGTCTATATTTATTTATTCATTTGCAAACCATTAAGGTTGTGACAGCTACTTATAGCCATTCATTCTTTTTCTGTACCCTCTTTGTTTGAACCTTGCAGTCTTGATTTTGCACGCTTCCTTCAGGAAGCTGACCCCTTCAAAGCGGCCAACTCAAAGAGATGGAACTAAAAGATCATTGTAAAGTGATTTCTGATCAGCAATTGTAGCATGAAATATAAAAGTTAGCAACCTTACTCAATGCTAGTAGAAGAAAAGGATCATCTGTAGTAGGATCTTGAAGCTTACCATCAATTCCAGGACGGTAAAGCAAATTTGTTGTACTACTAACAATCTGGCGTAATAAATAACTGTTACTAAATAATTTCTATTTTGGGGAATTGTGATTTCCAGTGAACGAACCATTCCTCTTTTATGCAAATAGTTGGTTCTGCGTATTGATATTCAAAAGTAGAAGCCATCTTTGTTGAAGTCACCTGTTACGATCCCACACCGGTCAAGTATGGGCTTGGCCGGTGGCTTATAGGCAATGTGTTCCCTCCTCCTAATCGGCTGGTCTTTTAGGAGTGAGTTCTACACATGGGCTTATGGCACTGCTACGGGTCTAGTATGATCTAGGTCCATAACAATTGGTATCAGAGTCATCCCCATCTTCCTAGTCCCAACACTCGGAGTGGTGGCCTATGGAGTGGTGGCTAGGGCCCTGGGGGTGCCAACCGTGACCAACATAGTCGTGACCAACGAGGACGTTGGCTCTTCGAAGCGTGGGGTATTGTTACGATCCCACACAAGTCAAGTATGGACTTGGCTGGTGGCTTATAAGCAATGTGTTGCCTCCTTCTAATCGGCTGGTCTTTTAGGAGTGAGTTCTACACATGAGCTTAGCACTGTTATGGGCCTAGTATGGGCTAAGTCCATAACATCACCCTTATTGCAGCTTCTTGGACAATGAATGAATATCATCACATTATTTCAATCATAAAAAAAGATCAGGTCCAACCCTCCCCGGTCTAGCCGCCGTCCGAACTCCGCCGTTTGGGGCGGTTCCCGGTGGAATTTTTTGATAAAATTTTTTGAGCATGTTCTTCATCAAGTCTAGTTTGTCCATACCAAATTTCAGCTCAAAATTCGACCGCGAAGGCATTCAAATCATTTTTTGAAGTTGACTGCATTTTTATATGTATATTTTGTTTTTGGCACAAAAATGAAAGTTTTTTGTTCTAACATATACTCTGTAAAATTCAGATAAACTTGTGCTACATAACTCTCTACCTTTTTGCTCAAAAATCAGGTAAGCTCCTACTATTTCATCTTCCTCTGGACTTGTTTGCCTCGATTTGCGATGCAGACATAGGAGGTGAAGGTTTTCTTTTTGGAATAACAGAGGAGCAAAGATAATAAGGGATAAACCCATACAACCGATTAAAGACGACTAGGTTAACGATTTAACGTTGGGTTAGCGACTTAAAGTCTTAAAACGTTAGTGAGGGTATATTTGTACCCCGATTCCAATTATATCAGTTTTTTGTTCTAAAAAATAATGTAAGGGTATATACATTCTCACACTAATAGTATGAGGGTATATATGTCCCTTTCCCCATTATACTAATCAAAATCATGATCCAAATTTTATGAAATGACAGTTTTTTGAGACAGAGATAGGATGTTTTTACTTGGACTGAAATTTTCTGGTCTGATCTGAACTAGTATGATAAATGTCTGTGTATTTTGTACTAACACACAAGATTCTAACAATCCAAGAGTATCTAACAAGATTCACACTAAAAATGAAATTTACTTCTCTTATATTCTTCATTATTAATGCCCAATTTTAGTATTCCATATATAGGTGTGTGTTTGTATGGGCAAATGTTGAGATTGAGTAATGATTTCCGTCGTTAGAACACACAAATCAGAATGACATTTTTACTATAAATAAAGCATCCAAATATCGAACATTATCCATTGCATCATTACTAATAGGGTAACCAGTAACATCATCTACTTGAAGTGAAAGTTAAGCCATGATTGAGCAACTCTCACTAACTGCACTAAAAACGATGGCAGTTTTTCCAAGTAAGCACTAAACTATGATAAATTAATATAAAAGTAAACGTCCGAACTAAAAGCACTGCCTTTGAAACATATTATGAACTTATAATGTCTGGCCTGGTGTGATTTCACTATCCTTTGACTTGCAACGGAAAAAATTGGGTCTGAACCCTTTCTCAAGCAACTTCTCGACCTCCTCAAACGGCAACCCTTTGGTTTCGGGTACGAGCAAGAAGATGGCGGTAAGGCCAATGAGCGCAAAACCAGCAAACAATAGGAAGGTGGCCCAAGGGCCGAGAGCCTGGGTCAAGGTTAAGAATGTCTGGCTGACAATCAGATTTGACACCCAATTAGAAACTGCAGCAATTCCTCCTCCTATGCCTCTGTACCTCAAGGGGTAAATCTCGGAGTTAACAATCCAAGGTACGGTCCCTATGCCTGGTGCATAGGATAAGATGTATGCTCCTAGTACTAAAACTGCAAAGAACCCAAATTTGCTTGGGCAACCTTGGGTGTACCATGCCCGCCTTTCGGATTTGCACATTCCTTCCACTATAGTTGTCGCAGATAAGCATGCCCCCGGATTATACTGTTTGGACAATGGTAAACAAAGTTGTAAACATTTACATGCCACTAGGGAATATTGCATACCTATATTGGCCCCTACATTTTGCTTCTAAAAATAGGTCATTCCATCCACCTCTGACATCTTGTTGATTCACCACTGCTGCCAACTATTGATCACTTGTGAGTGAAAAGGCAGAAGTGGTCAATGACCGGAAGCCCATGATCAGAGAGCCAGCAGCACTGGCCAGAGATGAGTGGTAAATAGACATGGGCAGAGTTAGCAGCATAAAGTCTTGGGTTCAATAATGAAAAAATAATGACGATATAAGGGTTATACTGGGTAGTAGAATTTATCTTTGTTTTATCAAGGCTAGTTAAGTAGAAGTCTAGAAACTTGTCTGTGTTTGTGTTTGCCTGTGATTTGTTTTAGAGATTGTAGAGCCATTGTTCAATGGTAAAAGCTCATAACTTTTTAAAATAAGCATGATAGCTAAAAAAAGTTTTTTTTGGGTATTATTTGGGTGAAATCATTCTATGAATTTCAAAAGTGAAGAACAGTCTTAGAAATGCTGTCTTTCAGCATTTGAATGTTTAAGAGCAACTTCCCAAGAGGCAAGAGCAATTGCAAACACTGCCTAAAAAGACATGACATATATGGTCCTCTTTAGATAAATTATCAATGTTTAAGCCCTATATGAAGATAATTTTATAACTCCATGGATCAATAGAATGATTGAGTAAGTAGACTTACTTTGCCGGCAGAATTACTGCAGAAAGAACACTCAGGTGCATGCAAACATGATTCACAACTCCAAGAAGCCGGGTTTGGAGCTTTTAAGAAACTCGGGCATGTGGAATTTACTCCAAAGTGATTTGATTCGTAGACACTGACTGCTGGAGAATGGATGCTGGCTTGTTTAAACAAGACCGAGAGTACAACCAGAGATATTATGGTACCTAACATTGAGATGATCATCAACCTCCTCCTCCCATACCTGTCAACAAAGCACATACTAACAATAGATCCAAAGGCATTGAGACCAGATGTGATGAGGGAGAGCGTTAGAGCAGTCCGATTTGAGGCAAAACCAGCTAGTTGCACAATTGTCGGGCTGTAATACATGACTGTATTGATTCCAACAAATTGCTGAGCCACTTGAACTGTTATTCCCGCATATAGTCCCCTGCGAACGACAGTGTTCCCCCAAGCACTCCTTAATTTGGCAATTATGTTATCTCCTATGGCTTTTGCTTCTGCCTTCTCGTGCACAACAGATTCATGCAAAGCCATCAGTTCTTGTTCTACTTCGTTAGCAGGATAGATCTTCTCCAGAATCGTCCGGGCTTCTTCTACTTTGTCCTGATTAATTTATTAATCAACATTACCACGTATTAAACTGGCTCAAACTCATTTCAAAATGATTCTAAGGAACTAAAGGAAGTGAGACTTCATATATTAGACTAAAACGAACCTAGTAAATATCAAAAGGTTGAGAAGTTTAACACCCCTGTACAGTTAAGGGACACAGAGGCCAAACCTACTCATACGTGTTTCCATATATACAAAGTCACAATTTGATAGGGTTCAAATATCATACGTAGTATTAAATTTGGTCTAACTTGCCTAATAGGACCAATAATGCTTATCTCACAGGCTCACACAATAAACATGCAATGTGGGACACATTAAAATCAGATGAACTGAAATATCATACGTAGTATTAAATTCGGTGTAACTTGCCTAATAGGACCAAAAATGCTTATCTCACAGGCTCACACAATAAACATGCAATGTGGGACACATTAAAATCAGATGAACTGAAACTACCTGCCCATAAAGCCATCTAGGTGATTCAGGGAGAAAAATCATTAATATGAACTGAACAAAAGCAGGAACTGCTGCTACCCCGAGCATCCAACGCCATGTGCCTGGAACCTGGGGATCAGAAGCCATAACAAGACAATATTAATATACATTTTTCACCGCTAACAATTGAAGCGTTCACTAAAATTTGGAGAATAAACGAATATCAGATTAGAGATGAATGTCATTTCAAGTACCCTGGTGAATGCTAAGTTGATAAGATAGGACAGAAACTGTCCACCAGTGATTAGCAGGCCATTAGCACTGACTAGTGCGCCTCTAATTTTAGCGGGAGAGGCCTCAGAGATATAAAGCGGTGCGGTCATGGAAGCCATTCCAACTCCTAGACCGACCAACACTCTTGCCACGATTATAAGCCATGGAGTTGGGGAAAGAGCCATCATTAATGCTCCAATAAAGAACAACACATCAGCTACCATAATTGCCACTTTTCGTCCAAACTTGTCGTTCATCCATCCACCAAATCCAGCACCCACAACAGCACCTGCCACTGCCATACTCACAATCATTTCCTGTACATTATTATAGAAAGAAAAGGGTCAACACCAGTCATGGTTTGTTGGTCATTCAGAAATCCAGAAAATACATGAATCAAATCATATATTCACTTGCCTGTAGCCATGTGTGCTTCTGAACGGCTCTAAAGTCGTCCCGAATGTATAGCAAAGCACCCGAAATAACACCTTTTGTTGGCAAAACAAACAGTCATAACCAAAACGATTTTAAAACTTGAACTGCTATAATGAAGAAAAGTAAAACATCCGATTATTCTAATGAAATTTAACCCTAAACAAACAAGAAGAATTCTTTTTATAGCATTAAATGAGCCTTAAACAATGATGAACACATCTGTAGAATTGTTTAATGATTTCGTCACATTTATTAAATTTTCTCAATATGGTTGCAATGAATTACCAGTATCATAACCGAAGAGAAAGCCACCAATTCCAGCAGACAGGGCAAGCCGCATAATGTACGGCGTCCTCCACAAAGAACTCCAACATTCTGAGAATTCCGCTTTGTCTGCTTTATGCGGACCACCCTCCATTCCGGTCGAGAGACAAACAAACACACACTAAATAGGAAGAAGAAGACGACAATCATTAAAATCATTGCTTTTGTCAGTCAAACATAAGCTTTGCATAATTATAAATTCTCTGTTCTAAAATTTCCCAGGAAAAAACCCTTATCCACGCACAAAAAATAAAACCAACATATTTGTCGGAATTGATTTTAATCACAGAACTCATCATACATTGGTGTAAGACAGAGCTCTCTAAACATGCAAAACCAGAATCATCAAGAAGAACGAAAGAGAGGAGATGAATCCAAACGGGGCGTAAATATGGATTAGTTTATCGTTAATACCTATGCAATCGGCTTAACTTTACTCGTGAAGGAGTTCTATGGGGAGATAAAACCAGGTTTGAGGGGTTGTTTATATAGAGAAACCAAAATGCGTACGTAAATATAAGCTGCAAATCCTATCCAGTAGCCCACTGTGGGAATCCTAGTAAAAGTAAAACACTGGGTTATTCGAAGTGTTACGTCAGAGACTGAAAAACCGGATCAGTCGGCCCGACCAACAACTGACTGGTCAAACTGGGCCGACCAAAGGATAGTTTCTTGAAGAGAAATTTTTTGGAGCTGGGCTCTCTTTGCAACCACTTGTGCTTAAATAAAAGCACTATTTGGCAAAAAGTGATTAGTATTAAAAGTTGGTAGTGTTTGGTAAAATAAGTGCTTTTTGTGTAATAGAAAAAGTAAAAAATAGATTTTACACGGAAATCGAGAAAGTAAAAGTTGATAGTGTTTGGTAAAATAAGTGCTTTTTTCTTAAAAAAAAGGGAAAGTTCCCGAAATGGGACTAAAAAAGTTCGAAAATTCCAAAATAGGACTGTCATGTTTTTATTCCCAAAATAGGCTAATTACTGCCAAATTTGGAAAATACTGCCATGTTTGAAGTCTGGTACTGCCAAAACATGGCAGTAATTAGTCTTGTTTTGGGAATAAAAACATGGAAGTCCTATTTTAGAATTTTTCAAACTTTTTTAGTCCCATTTTGGGTAATATCCCTAAAAAAAACCAAAATCACTTTTTTTAATTGATTGCAAACAAGCCCCTCCAAATTTGTATAGTGCCCCGTGTACATGGCATTTTGACAGAAAATCATATCCCTTTTCAAACGAATTGCTCGTGTACACATGCAACTAGTATGGTGTGTACAAGTAGGGTATAAATTGGGATACCTATAGCATTTGTGAATTTTATTTTTGTTTGTATTCACTTTTGTATTCACGTTCAAAAATATTGGATTATAGGGTCCGGATCCGAACACACTCATCTCGTGTTCGGGCTAACCACAACCTGGTGGGTGAATAAATTATTAAATTATTAATCCTTTGTCTGCTTAAATCCATTTTTTATCTCATTCAATCTAACTTTTCTTAGCAATTCAGTAGCAATTCAATAACATTGTATTCATTTAGCACGGTTTTTCATTAAGGACGTGTTTATTTGGTCTATAATTTTTTGGTCTAGTCTGGTGTTATCTGTTCTTGTTTGACATAGTCTAGTCTGATAGGTGTCTAGTGTATGTGTATTTTTTAACTCTCAAAGTCTAGTTTGGACTGGTCTATTTAGTTCTGGGATGGGTAGCAAGAGACTCTGAGGGACAATTCATTAAGGGAGGTTGGTAGTCGACTACAGCCTGGTGGGAGGCAAGTTTGACCGAAGCCATAGGGGTCCAAGAGGTTTTGAGTTGGATTAAAACTAGAGGACGGTCACGTGTGATCTTGGAAACAGACTTGCTAGTGGTGGTGTTGAGGCTTTTAAATGATGAAGGAAATTCTTATTTAGACGTTGTGATTGGGGATATTAGACACAATCTTCTTAACAAAGCAAGCATTGCAGGAGATCCGCAGGTAGAGTTGTCCATAGTTTAGCACGAGAAGCTCATACTAAGCCGGAGGGAGTTTTATATTTTAATAATGCCACTAATTGTATTATGAGCCAACGATTGTTTGATTTAATATATGATGGTTAGTTTCTTTTAAAAAAGAAAAACACACGTAAACTATTCATGTTGTTGTGTCTTAGAGAGACACTTTCAATTGAAGAAACTCATACTCCCTCCGTAACATTTATATCTTCTCACTTTCCTTTTTTGGATGTAACATTCATATCTTCCAATCATACTCTCAATAATTTTAAAAATAATACACTATTACACCTACTTTTTTTGGATTTATCCTTCATTCCAACACATTATTTCACTATCTTCCCGTCATACCCTCAATAATTTATATCATCTTTCACTATTCTTAATCTACCTACTTTTCAAATGGGAACATATATATGTTACGGAGGGAGTATGTCTATTAAATAGAGTTTCAAAATCCATATAAACTCTTGAACTATTATCAACAATTCTCTATTCCAAACACATCAAATTTTCTTAATTTTTTTTGTAAATAAAGATTCTTACTCGATTAAGTGTGACATATTCATTTAATTATTTTATTTTACAGACATATATGTATAATGACTAGTTTATTTTTACGACATTGTAATGCTATGTATATTATGTGTTATTAATTGATATATGATTAGAATTTCGTTAACTAATTCAATTTATTTTAAACTTTTTATTCTCAATTTTTTGTATACCATTAGTTCTTTTACAACATATTTCATGTGATTTTTAGGATCAAGTTATTATAGTCTAAAAAAAGAATCAACTTATACTGCTTTGGTTTCAATATATGATTTTTGATTGACAAATTTAGATAATTGTACGAGACTATATTTAAATTGTTTTTTAGATATTTCATTTTCCAAGATAATTGTTTTAGATCACCTTTACGACATTATGTTGTAAGTTACCATTGAAGATCGCCATGCTTATAGATAAAAACAATTTTTGCTTCAAAACACTTCGATTTTTGTTTCTAGGTTCAACCAAACCTGAACTCGATGTTCTTAAAACCCGGACCAACCCGAAAGTATTGGTCCTCCGATCGGACCCAAAAATGTAGAACTCGAAGGTTTCCAAGTTTTTCGGTCCTAAAAAAAATTGACCCAATCAGACCTGATCTCACCCATACACACACCCACTTTGTCGTCCTTCAATACATATTTTTTGATGGGTTGCACACACTTCGGAAATAAGTCAAGTGATGTCATCCTAATGTGAGATGGTGTTAGCCCTTGTAACAAACTAGTGATATCACTAATGACACAAGCCCTTTCAGAAAACAAGGCATGTGACGTCAGGAGGGGGGCACTGGTGTCTGGTAACATAAGCCCCGGATACAGTGGCAAAACTAGGCATTGGGGTTCAGAGTATGAACATATATGACACTAATAGTTTACTTCATGAGAATAAAAAAGGCTAAATAAAATATATAGATATAGTAAAAGAAAAAGTACCTTTTATAGTTGTTCTCGGCGTGCTTGCATATTTTGAAAGTGTTGAATAATTAACTCATCATCAATGCTATCAAACACATCACTCTTTATATAATGAACTAAACAGTCATTCATCCAATCATCTTCCATCCGATTTGGCAACTCGGTCTTCACAATTTTCATCGAAGAAAAATCTCTTTCAACCTTGCCAGTAGCAACAAGTAATGTTAGTGCTAACTTCAGAAGTAAATAAACTAATTGATAAACACGATGTTTCCCCATCTTCACCATCATCTCTGCAAGGCAAGCAATTCCTTTCAACTTCGGAAATTCATTATTGCTTGGCATATCAATGATATAAGTTTCTAAATGATTTTCAAGAAGTACTAGCTCTATACTTGAGAAATCACTTGGATAAAATGTAGCAAACTCAATTAACTTGAGCTTTTAAAATGCTTCATAGGACTTGTCTAGAATCAAGCACCTCAAACGAAGAAGCAACCTAGTGTTGGACTCACTAAAACGGTAATAAAATCTTGAAGTTGCATATCCACAATTGTACTAGTATAAAACAAGTCCAATATTTTATACCCTTATATTGTTGGATCTAGCTTTTAGTATAAATTTGTCTTCCATATTAGGAATGTCAAGATCATGAACTCTGCAAAAAGCAGACACTTCCTCCAATAATGGATCCCATCAATCATCTTTCATATCTTGCTAGTGTCCCTTTGCAATAGATATCAATTGCATCACATTAAGAATATCTCAATCCTTTTCTTTGCAAATTCTTGAGATAGCTTATCTGTAACTTCTAGGGCGGTCTTCATCAAATGAAAAAAGAATGCAAAATCAAATGTTTGTATAGAGTCTAAATGTCGCATAACCTCACCCTTTTGATCTGAAGTCACCCCATCTTCTTTGATAACTTCAAGAACATCAATCATCGAGGAATACAATTGAACAAAACTAATCAGGCTTCCATAACATGAACCCCAACGAGTTTCACCACTTTGCTTCAAACCAATTCCATGATTCATACCTCGCCCAGTATGAATTTCACCTATTTCAATTTCTTCTTTAACTCTAGCTACATGTGTTTCACGAAGCAAGTCGTATCGCTTGCATGATCCCCCCAAAATATTGATAAGTGTAGAAATTAAACAAAAAAAACAAAGCAGCATGATCATGTGTTTTTGCTACATATACAAGTGTGAGTTGCAACTGATGAGCAGAGCAATGAATACAGAAAGCAGAAAGATTTTCTTTCAGAATTAAATTCTTAAGTCCATCAAATTCACCTTGCATATTACTTGCCCCATGAGAACCATGTCCCCTTATCTTGATACACTTAATCCATACTAAATACTAATCAATTCCCTCTTCAAAGTCAACAATAATAGAAAAATATTCATCGGCAAGGTCATTTATAATTTCTTTGATGGTCTCGGTAGCAGCATCTATGAACAATGTTTTTTTTTAATCTTAGGGGCATTTAAGCGATGGTTATTGGGGGCATTTTACAAAAACACATTTATATCTTCATTACAGGCCGCAAGAACCTTTAGAAATAATTCAAGAAAATTACCTTGATTAGAAGATGCATAAGATTCATCATGGCCACGAGAAGGTAACCCTTGTTTCAAAAGGAAACGAATGCAAGTAAGTGAGCAGATAATTGACACCTATATACTTCATGAACTTGATCGGGTTGTTTGAGGATGGAAACATGAATATGTTGAATTTGTTCATCATATTGAAGAAAGATTCATCATGGTCGTGAAAAGGTAACCCTTCTAATTGCCGTTTTCTAAAGAAGAAAGGGAAGACTAAGGATTTTGAAATGGGTGTAATTGAAATTTTGATCGTAAAAGTTAAGTATCCATATACTACCTAACAGTCCAATCCAGTATGGCAACAAAGAAGAAAATAAAATAATAAAAACCCCATCTGCACGGCCCACATGCTAAAAATATCATCTGAGAAGTGCTACAAAAACAAATCGAGGTGTAGCCTTGCAAGGAATCAAACTAGCAACCTGTAATCTAAAGGGGTATTTAATTTTTAGGC